GCTTATTGTATTAAAAATGATCTTAATTTACTAGAACTAAATGAAAATATGACACTAAATAGGACGCAATGGAGAAAAAGGATTCATGTAGCCGACCCCACGTAGTGGGTGTAAGGCTTTGTTGTTGTTGTTGTTGTTGTAATCAACTTTGTTGTTGTTGCCCTCTAGCCGACCCCACGCAATTCCTTCACTTCAACCAACCAACTTGAATCTACTACTAACATCCCCATCTATATTATCATCACTTTGAAATATAGGCCTGAGATATTTAAAACGACCACAACTTTTAATGATTTGATTACCCATAATTACTACACTACCACTAGCGCTACTACTACTAAAATTACATTTCGTGTGCTCAGTTTTAAATCTACTCAAATGAGGGCCTTTAGACTCTAATGTAGAACTCCATAATTCAAGATTTTCCTGAAATATTTCTTTAGTCTTATCCATAGGAAGGATATCGTTAGCGAAAAACATACACCAAAGTACATCATCCTATAAATGTCTGGTAAGAGCATTCATAACTAAAGCAAAATGATATGGGCTTTAAGCAGTTCCCTGATGCAATCCAACTGAAATATGAAAATACTTAGTTAATTATTGTTTGTTCGAACACAAGTAACAGATCCAGTTTACATATCTTCAATGACTTGAATATAAGCCATTATCAACACTTTTCTTCTGTGAGTTCCAAAGGACTTCTCTTGGAACCATATTATAAGCTTTTTCTAAATCAATAAAAATCATATGTAGATCTTCCTTATTCTCTCTGTACTTCTCCATCAAACCTCTCAATAAATGTATAGCTTCCATAGTAGATCTTCCTGGCATAAATCCAATCTCATTATGAGAAATTTTTATATCACGTCTTAATCTATGTTCAATTACCCTCTCCCATAATTTTAAAGTACGACAACAACTTAGTTCCTCTATGATTTGCACACTCCTGTGCATTTCGTTTATTGTTAAAAATGGGGATCACAATACTCTTCTTCCACTCAACAATCATTTTAGTTTTTAAAATAATATTAAAGAGTTTAGTAAGCCAATAAACTCCCAATTCTCCTAAATATTTTCACATTTCAATTGGAATATCATCAGGTCATACTAATTTTTCACCATTGATTTTTTTTTAAAACCTCCACAACTTTTTTTTTACTAATGCGATGGTAAAATAAAATATTTTATTATTATTAACGTTATTAAGATCACTATGGTCGATTATATTTTCAAAAATATCATTGAAAGGTTTATCAAAATAGCCCACCCACTTATGTTGAATATTTTCCTCTAGGAAAGTACTTTTTGATTTTCATCTTTAATACACTTTACTTGAATTAAATCTTTACATTTTTTTTTCACTTTATTTGAATGGTTTATATATATATTCTTTACTATCTCTAGTATCTAATTTATTGTAAAGATCACTAAAAGTATAATTTTAGCATCACAAATTATTCTTTTAGACTCCCTACGGGCATTCTTATATTTTTTCCCAATTTTTTAAACTTTACATTGATATGTAGAATTTTTCAGCGCCAGATAAGGTGTTGTTTATATCTTGAGCTCTTTAAACATACATAATTTTCTGTGAAAATTATTAGAAAATATACAAAGAAACTATTTTGAAATGAACTTTGAAACCTTTACTCATCAAGCATCGAAGTTTACAGCTTTCCTTCTTAGTTTAAATGAACCCTATCAGTTCTTAAGAGGAGATAAGTGATTACTGTTGAGTTTGGTAAAGCTGCGGGGTCTCCACAGACCTTGCTATGGCTACGTGTGGTCAAAGCCATTATTTTGCTTTTTATTGTGCATGTACCCACACAATTTCTCTCCTGTGCGGGCTACTAACCCTATCACTCTTTTAGCAAAATAGTGATTATCATGCAACTATTAGGACAAAACTTGTTATGCAATCATTCCAATTAAATTAACCTTTGAAAATTCTTTTTTACCATCCGCCTTTTGGTGTCTTATGTGTTGAAAGAGTTGAATGAATAATGCTCGCTTTGGTAGATTTTCTTAATTTTATCATACATATAATCTAATAATCTTTTCATAGCCTCAAAACTTGTTTGAAAACATCACAAGGACACTCATGCCTCATTTGGTATTGCATTAGTTTTATACCTCCCATAATGTGAGGCGCGCCTTGAGGCACATGTCACCCGAGTTCTCATGAGGTGTACATAATTTAATATAAGTTTTTTTAAAAATAAATATATGTAAAATAACTCTAATAAATATTTCTTGCCCATATAACACCCAATTGAAAATGCTTTTGAGGATATTAATATCAAAATAGCCATTGTTTTAAAATCTAATTAATATTCTTATTAATAAATGTGAGGAAGATGATTGAGACTTAAGATGAGGAGTGAATAAGACATGGATACAATTAAAGATGAGGTGAGAAAGAAAGTCAATCGTTATACCAATGATCTTAATGATGGCTCATTAAGTGATTATAGTGATGGTGAATTTAGAACTTATTAGCCATAGTAATATTATTATGTTTTTAATTTGATAGATGACAGGAGTATGAGGAAGATTAATCGTATTAAGTTTATTTTTAATCGTTATATTATTTCTTTGCTGTTTGTATAACATTTTTTTTATTTCATGATTTGATATTTGGATGTTACCTTTTTTGCTTCTTTAAACAATTTATTACTGTACCATTTTAGGATGATAAATGTTACATTTTAAGCTATTAATTGGTTATGATGTTATTATGTTACTAATTTTAACATTATTTGAACTTAGTATAACATTTCTTGCTTTACTCAATTAGTTGATTTTGAGGCTGTTGTCTCGAAATGTCTCGAGGCTTACACCTCACCACACAAATCAAAAATGCCTCGATGCCCAATTGCATAATTGTGAACTTTGAATCCCTTTGACTATCTTAATGTTATAGTTTTTACTAATTTTAAGATCTGTGTGAATCTTGAAAATGACGAGTTTTGAATAAAATGAAAATAGAAAATAAACAGGAAAATGTTTTTCTAATGTCAAAATTATTTTCTACAGAGTAATGAATGGTGAAAATGTTATTATTCTAATGGTAGTGATGAATTGATGGCACCTAGAATTGAAGTTAGTTTGAAGAAAGCTTGTACAATGTTTTTCCTTATATGATTATGCTTGAATCAATAAATGTTTCAATTGTCATCGACACTGAGGCACAACTTTGTATCACCTTTTTGAAAGAAATATAATCATCATCATCATTATTATTTTTACTTAGTATTCCCTTTCTTAATCATTTTCTTATGATTTTAATGCAGGCGTGTTCCCATTATTGAAGCGAGAAAGGGGAACCCACCTATAATGCCAGCAGTTATGACCCCAGGAGGGCCTCTTGATCTTTCATCTATATTATTCCGCAACCGCATAATCTTCATAGGGCAGCCTGTGAATTCTCAAGTAGCTCAACGTGTTATATCTCAACTTGTAACACTTGCAGCTGTTGATGAGGATGCTGATATTTTGGTATATTGCCATAATTATTTATGATTCTTGCTTTTATCACACACAATCTTTTCTGTGCTATTTGAAATATCACGTGTTGATTATCAACATGTTTCTGATTTAAAATTCTATTCCTCAACATTAGGGAAGTATAGATTGGCCATATTTTCTTTTTCAGAAATTTTTTTCCTTAAAATATGTTTGAAAATTGATCAAGCTTGAACATAATTAAGTTGCATTCTATCTTTTCTTTTGTTCGTTTGTTGAGTGATATATTTATATTTTCGAGTTAAGAAATGCTAGACTTGTGCGGTTCTTTTCTGTTATTTACTTTGTGTCATTCTCCACCCTCGTTTTTACTGTATTAGATATCCTTATTCTATTTGATTTTCTCTTTTTGTTCAGAACAAATGGGAATCAATCTACACACCCTTGGCCTGAATAAAATCTGAACAAGAGAAAGATTTAGTATTATTCTACTAGTATGAGATTTTTTTGGAGATAGGTGACAATGACTTGAGGGAAGAACTAGCAATTTATTATTAGAAAAATTTCTTGTTTTTATTGTTGAAAAATTATTTATAATTTTTTCCTTGAAATTGTCTAAAATTGGCATGCTGGGGAAGGGATGATTAGGCCATGAGTTAACAGAGTTTAGAGGTTGTACTTGTAAAAGAGCACGATTGGGCTGTTATGAGCATAGCCTAACATTGGCAATTGCTTGATAGGAGAGATGAAAGTGGATTATGTATCGAGTCATTGCAAGACATATTTGATTCTTGATAATGATGCAAAATTTAGGATAACTCACTTTCAAAACGCCACAATATTTAATCAATGTTATATTTCTTGAAATATGCAGTGGTGACTTTTGAATAATTGATTATTCTAACCTTAAGGTATATAATTTTCTTGTCAGATATATTTGAATTGCCCTGGTGGAAGCACTTACTCAATATTAGCAATCTACGATTGCATGTCATGGGTAAGTTGTTTTATTGTTTTCTTTCATAGTTATCATAAAATTTTTACAATTTCTGTATTTTTTGACTTATTTTAGGTTTCTTTTTTTGTTGCATTTATTAAGCTTGCATATATTTTAAGTTTATGAAGTTTGTGCTCCATTTTTTGTTTCTTGTAGTTCTTTGATTAGTTTTGAAATGAGTGCAAACAATCTATCCTTCCTTTTTTGTTGTGTTATGTTGCAATGAAATTATATTTTTATTTGGTTGTATGCAAATTTTGGAATCCTATATTTTGATAAATGTAGCAGTGATTACCTCCTATAAAAATATTTGCCAGGATCTTATCCAATTGATCATTAAATCAATAAAGTGATTATTAACTGAATAAACATCTATTGATTAGTAAACTATACCAAATCATTAAGGTAAATATTCTCCTCAATAAACAATAGAATTGAGAACAAAAGCATGCAAATAAAGTGGACTTTTAACATATTGTTATTAAGAGATTTATTAATTAAATAGAAAAAAAACTAAGAATGGTACAACAAATTTTTTTTGAAAGATAGTTCATCTTTATGGCGTGCTCAGAATTATCACTTCAAATAGAGATGTGAAGTTCTCGAGTCATTTCCAGAGGACATTATGGGCTAAGCTAAGTATAAAGTTCTAGTTTCGTTCAACAACGCTCTCAGATAATTGGGCGGATGGAAGAAGTGAATCGTAGTTAGAGAAATCTTAGATATTTTGTGGGCATGAAATTAGATCGTGGGATATGATTCTTCCTCTAGTTGAGTTTGCCTACAAGCGGTCCACTAGCTAGTTTACCGGTCATAACCCCTTTAAGATAGTTTATGGGCAAAATTCTCTACTTATATTTCCAGGCTTTGAATTTAGTATTGATGTAAAGATTAGAGTAATTGAAATTTAAAGCCATACTTCAGTAGGTGAAGAAGAAAATTGCCAAATAGCATGTAAATTATCAGAAGTAGGCAAACAAGTCCAGAAATGCTATGTCTTTCAAAGAGGGGTGACGTGATGTGGATTATATTGAAGAATGAGAGATTTCCTGCTGGTTCATTTAGAAAGCTCAGGTTGAGAGCTAATGGTCTATTCAGATTTGTCAATAGAATCAATGAAAACACCTCTAAGATTGATGTACTGGTTGATTATAATATTCTGCCATCTTCAATGTTGCTAATTTGATGCTCTATAAGGATCATTTTACGGTGATAAAGGGGATGCCTCTCCCACCCGGGAAAATGATGTGGATATGCTGGTTCTGAGTTTTTTGAGCCCCAAGAAGGGTGGCTAGCCTTTTAGAGAAATTATTTAATTTTGAAAAGAATTTGAGTGGCTTATGTTGTTTTTAATACAAAATGGTGCTTTAGAGATTGTTGGAGGACTTTTGCTCTGGTTTTATGTTATTCAAACATGTTCTCTGTTTTCCTCTCTCTTTCGAGAGCTGTATACACTTCCCTTTTTAAGTGGTGTGCTTGTAACTTGATTGGGAATAGGTATTGGATCTCCTTGACGTCTGTAGACCTCCTAAATCCTCGCGAACTCTCTTCATCCTACCTGTTTTCCACGATACAGCAGCTGCCGCCCTCTGCTTCCATTCTCAGGTTCTCTATCATCATTTACTGCCTTACAACCATCCACACTCTTTTCCTTCATCCTTGAACAACATCTACGATCCCTATGTTGGTGTCATTCATGTTTAGGTATTTGCATAAGTGCTTATGAGATTGAAGTAGTTCGAGCATTGCTTATGATGCAATACACGCATGGACAAAAATCAGATCCTCTGTTCTATTAGATCATACTTTTTATGTTTTGGAGCCTTAGATAAGGCAGGCTAAGAGGCCGAGTCTGCTGATTGCAGGTATGTTTCAATGGTGAAATATTTGTTCATCATCTCCTTATTGCTTATCATTTAGAAATATTTATTTGCAACATTAAACCCTTTGGATTCTTTATATGTAAGGCTGCCAGTTTTTTCAAAATAAAAATTCATTAGTAGATATGAGGGCTTCAAAAATTTTGTGTAGTTGTTTAATGGATTTACTTGATGACAAGCTACAAACCTTCTAAATGGTTTGAATGTAAGGATATCGGTTTGTGACGCAAGAGCTTGCGGGATGCGGTACTGTAACTGCTACAGTTCCATGGTCCAACTCTTCTTCGCGTCTTTTTCTATTTGATTCCTTGCTTTGTCTGGCCCTTTCTTTTCTAGCACTTTCCTTGTCTACCTCCTTTCTTTTTCATCACCTTTCTGTTTCCATTTCTTTCCTATTTTATCTACTATTCGTCATTATATATGTGTTGTTTGCTTTGATTACGGACGGTTTTTGCCTTCCAGATTTTAGACTTCTTTTCTTGCCAGTCGTCGGCGTTGTTTTCATGTCGAAGGCTGTTTTCAAAGGTGAGGAGGTGCTCCGGCTATAACTCGCCCGAGGTGGTGTTCTTCTCCAAAGGTTTGAGGGTTGCTTTGACTGTAACTCGATACCACGGGGATACATATCTTTCCTGAATCCCCTCTGTAGTCCACCTTCTGTTTTCCCTGCCGCCAGCCCTATTCCCCACTCCTTACTATTGGCGCCACTTGTATAGCACCCCCGCCTACTGCGACAAGTTCTTTACTCCCTCGTAGCCTGCTGCCGCCATCTGTCTAGCCTCCCGTCAGCTGTCGATTCCCTCTTCTCTGCTGTCCTGCTGCTACCGGCCCTCCTTTCCAGTTTTGCAACAACGCCATTTCAAGTCTCCAGTTGTCCCCACAACTGCCAATCAACCCATCTACCGATTGTCTAATTACCATTCATCACCTTCACCATCGCGCTAAGGTGTATTTTATGTTTGTGTCGTTATTTTTCTAATATCAAGAGTTTTTGTTTGTAACCCTTTTAAATTTTAACAATGATATTCACATTTCTATTTTGGTTTGAATTATCCAGTATCATTTGGTATTAGAGCTAGGCTATCCCTGGTCCCATCTTAGGGGTTCCTAGAATCCGCCCCTACCCAAGCCACCTCCACAAAACTTTTTCATTCCTACCACCCATCAAATCATAGCCAAATTTTGTCCGAATCCTAATTTTTCTTTTTTGATCTTTAAAAATCAGAAAAGCCATATTAAATTTTCTACATATTCAATTAGTCTCATGCCCTCTCTTTCACCTCCCAACTCTAAACCTTAGCTATGCCACCAAGGAGATATATGTTTGAGCCTACCCGGGAAGAGGTATAATGAGAACTGCAGACTTCAATGAAAGTTTGCGTAACACTGAGGATGACACCCAGAGGGGATTACTCGCGATCGTGATCTAGAGAGTTGAAGAGGAGAACGAGAGAATTTGAAGATGAAACGAGAAGTACAATGCAAGTTCCTACCAGCTTAATACAGACAAAATGTTCAGATCCTGCCAGAAGTGGAGAGAACACATTGTCGAGTAACCAACCCATCATACTGGCAGAGTTCAACCTTAGGATCTTACAACTCGATCAGACCTAGGAGAACATCCATGTTGACCCCGTCAGAGGAAGAGCTGATTGAGAGTGGAGAACAGGGGGAATCAAGCCGCATTCATATATTTGTCCCAACCAAGAAGTGCTTCAAGTGCTATGGGTTTGGGCACAGTGAGTTGGATTACACAACCAAGAGAGTGTTTGCTGTCATTGATCAGGGAGCAATTGAAGAAATAAACAATATTCCAAAAGAAGATGAAGACTTCAGAGAAGATTCTCAATTTTTAATCAACTGGGAAGAGATGCTATCGATTATAGTTGATCCCAAGGTAGAAATTCTAGCGAAGGTAATAATAGCTGTTCTAGAAGATAGTGACTCTAATGTTATTGTCATTCTAACAGATTACGAGATTGTGGTGCCTCGAGTTAGCATTTTGCAGGCGTTGAGAGGAACATCAACAAGATTGACCTAATGAGTTTGAGGAGCCGATATCAGACACATGACAATCTCAGATAAGAGAAATTCAGACCATACATATCTATATAACTCATTACTGTGTTGCCCCTACTGAGGGAGGTCCAACACGACATAAAAGGGGCTTTTTTGTGCCACACTAGGAAGATTACATGGAGTTATTTAGATTTTAGATTCAGTTCAGCATAACACCTATCATCAGATCTCCAATCATGAGCAATCAACTCGTCCTTGAAAATTTGTCTTAGGAGCTTGATGGGGAAGGAAATTTTTCAGTGGGATTCAAGTCCTATCGCTGAAAAAGAAGATTTCTCTCCTGAGTGGTTGCTATTGAGAGTGGCATAGCCTTCTACAGATTTCTTCTCAGAGTTGATTTCACCTCAGACTTGTTTATCAACTAGATTTCGCTAAGTACGAGAAGTGAAAGAAGCATGTTTTAGACTTAGGGGCTCAAGAGTGACATTTTGGAAATCTACATCTATATGTAGATCCAACTTAGGATGTGCCAAAAAAGGATGCATACTTTTTTCTATTAAGACGTGCTATGGAATGATAATGCCTACAAGATTGACATACCATGAGACTATTTCGATTCCTTACCTATTCTATCTACTATTACTCATTATATTTTGGTGTTGTTTGCTTTGGTTAGGGACAATTTATTTTTTCCAGATTTTAGATTTCTATCCAAGCCAATCATCAAGACTGTTTTTCCTTCTAGGGCTGTATCCGAAGCCAAGGAGATGCTGCGGTTGTAACTTGCCCGAGGAAGTGTTTCTCTCCAAAGGTTTGAGTGGTGTTACGACAGTAACTAGATCTCGCGGGAATACCAATCTTTTCCAAATCCGCTCCACAGTCCACCTTCTCCTGTTTTCCCTGCCACAAGCCCTATTCCCCGCTCCTTACTGCTGCTGCCGCTCCTAAAACACCCTCAACCTTTCCTTCCTCCCCGCCTGCTGCCGTCAGCCCTCTAGCCTCCCACCTACCCGCCGCTTCCCCCTTTCCTGCTGTCTTGCTGCTACCGTCCCTCCTCCCTGCCTTCCAATGCTGCAGCAATGCCATTCCAAGCCTCCCCCCTTAGCAAACCCCTCTACCTGCTTTCCGGCTTCCATCCACCACCTTCGCCATCACCCTAGTGTGTCTTTTATGTTTGTATCGTTATTTTTCTGATGTCAAGTGTCTTTCTTTGCAATCCGTTTGAATTTTAGCAATAATGTTCACATTTCTATTATGTTTTGGGTTAACTCAGGTTTCAGTTTGTCATGCCAAGTAATCTTATTGGTGAGTTTGGAAGCTGTTTTAAAGTATTCCACTTACATAACGATAAAAGATCTTTAGGGGAGCCAAAAATTAAGTAGAAATGATATTGGTTTGTAACTACTAATGAGGGGGTCTATGAAGGTTTCAAACCTTTTCTGTTGTATTATTTCATTGGTTTATTTCTCAGATTTTAAGTTCTTAATTTGCATTTTATCTCATATTTGAAGCCCTTAGAAATATAAAAGCCACTGGCTTAAAAGGATATTTGGACTATTGTTTGTTTTAATTATTGTACTCCTGCACTATTTCTTACTTTGTGCCATCAGATTAAGCCCAAGGTCGGAACTTTATGCTTTGGAGTAGCTGCTAGCCAGGGAGCGCTGCTTCTTGCTGGAGGTGAAAAGGGAATGCGTTATGCCATGCCAAATGCTAGAATTATGATACATCAACCACAATCTGGATGTGGGGTGTGTAAGAAGTTAATTTATATGTTACGTTTTGAGTCAGCGTGATTAATAAATTGTTACTGCAATTGAATATAATTGGCATTGCTGAGTAGGAGATGGTAATTCATGTGCCCATGAGTCATTATGCTTTACTCTTTTATAGGGCCATGTGGAGGATGTGAGAAGGCAAGTTAAGGAAGCAGTTCAATCTCGTCATGTAAGCTTTTTAAACTTGAAAATTACACTATCTTTTGTATTAATCTGAAAGCAAGTTATAATTGTCAAGTTTTTTCTTTTTTTGAGGTGGCGTTGTCGGACTAAATCGCTATATCTTAATTTCTTTGCTATGAAAGGGGGGAATGCATATATGAACACATATATCTAAATGTACATGTATTTTTTTAAAGCATATATAGTTGTAATCAAGTGTCAAGTTAGCTAAACATGATTGAGTAATGCCTTTTTTATGTTTTGCTCCTTAAATAAGTGAGCTTTGTAAGAAATAGTCAATTTGAACTAATTATTAAGCCAAACATAACTGAATATGAACAATGATCATTTTTGATAGCCTTCCTCTATGGTGATCTCACTAAATCCATTTTTATGGTGGAAAAACTGGGTATATTATTCTGGTGAGACTAGAATATGGAGGTTCATATATGAGCCAAGTAAAACTCTCAAGTTCGATCTGATGAATTATGCAAAGTTCTTAGCTGAATTGGATTTTTCAGCTTCATAACAGGCCACTTATCTTCATCAAACACTTCATTTGTTCTCTTTTCTTGGAAGTTTATACCAATGATCTAATCACAAGGAGCAATTAAAGAAGGATTACAAAAGTAAACTTTTATCACCTAAATTGTTTCTGAAGATTTGAGTCCTTTCGAATGCTTACTTGGAATATAATTTGTCAATACCAAAGAAGTTTCCTAGCATCCAAAAAAAAAAATGTCACCGTGGTTCTTTAGAAAACTGGTCTTTCAAGTTGTGAACTAGTTGACACTCTCATTGATACTTGAAATATAGCTAAGTAGTCGTCCTTGAATGCCTCATTCTTGCTGGTTGGTTGGTAGGTTGATTTGTATTACTACACCAAATCAAGATTTCTCTTTTGATGTAAGACTTGCGAGTAAACACATGAAAACTTCCAAGAAAAAGAAAAGAGAGAATGACTATTTGTGTATCCACAAATAAATCTAGAAGTCGCCAACACTTTAATGTTAAAAGTTTTTTTTTTGTTGCCATGTTGGATTAAATGATGATAGAAAATTCATATTTGGGTATTACATATTTGTGTGTCTTAACTTTGTCACATGAAAGAGTGAGAAATAAGTAATGTTGGCTAAATCAAGCATTGAGGTAGAGTACACTGCCATTCATATTTTCTTAATTTATTTATTTTTCAGATACAATATCTATGGTCTAAAATCATAATAATCGTGTTGCCATCTTTAATATCAATTAATGTCATATTCCATGCTCCAACAAAAACATTGTGTTTGATTATCACTTCATTTGCGACGTGTTGTTGTCAACACATTGTCACTATTCATGTTTTAATCTTTAGAACAACAGCCATATACATTTACAAAGGCTTTGGGTCAACTTGAATTTTCTAAACTATGTAACAAGCTCTGATATTTATAAACTTCGGGCTATAGGAGTGTTATTGTCAGCACATTATTTTAGCTAATTTATTGGACCATGTTTATTTTGCTATACTTTGAACATAATATTCAATTCCCTTATTACAAATTCCTTTGTACTGAAGGAAGCTGATGCAATTCGAACCAATTTTCATTTTTGGTTGCTAATTGTGGTGGTAGTGGTAGCGGAGCTCTTCTTCGACTGAATGTAAAGTTAATAGGATAATGAGAAGTCCACTGCGAGAAACCATGTGCTGGGTGCTGTAGAATTGGGGAATCTTTGTGATGGACAGTCTTTAATAACAAAGTTGGATATTCTTTAATAACAAAGTTAAATTGGTAAATTGCAGTGAGGCCCCTAAGGCAAGGGTATAGTTCATATTTTATAAACTTTCCAAAAAACTTGTTACAAATTCATTTTTTTACTCATTCTTCTAATTTTTATGAGTTCAGTTGGAAGAGGAGCGGGATTTGAGCTTCTTGGCTCTAGATTTTCATTTAAATCCTTGTCACCAGTTGTGTAGTTTCCAGCAATATGCTTATAAATATCTGGGATAAAAGTGAAATTACCTAAATCTCTTAAACTTTCCCTTTGTAACTTAGCATCACTACATGTCAAGTTAGCATGACCGGGTAAATTACCGTCCTTCTATCTATATGATTTCATCAAAGAAATTGTGAGGCGGTATTAATCAGGACTTCAGGTAACACGCCAAAATAAATAGCAAGCAAAAGTTGGGAGACAAAACTAAATACAACTTTAAAATTTGCTAACAAAGATAAGCAATACTTTAATTCATAATGCCAAATTCAAATGATTGGGCAATTGGAAAACTGCCTAGTACAACATAAGAAGCTTTCAGGTGAACCAAATTTCTTTCATGTGCATCAGCAAAAATTTTTTGTCTTGAATTCTACTAGGATGGGGCTGTTATTTTTCTACAACAGAATAGCAGATTTGTAGACATTTAAAACAGTTGTTCATGTTTACAGAAAATAGATAAAATGTATGCTGCTTTTACTGGCCAAACTTTAGAGATGGTGCAACAGTATACCGAGCGGGATCGCTTCTTTTCGGCCTCTGAGGTATTTTCATTTGCTGAGAAAAATTGGATGAGGATATAGCTTTGATCGGAATTTACTTAAATTTACTTAATTTTTTTTTTTAATTCCAAGTATATTTCATTCTTTTCAAAATAAATCTAAATATTTTTAAGCATTTCGATCAAATTATTGACATAGCTATTCATACTTTCTCAGGCATTGGAATTCGGACTCATTGATGGGGTCTTGGAAACAGAATACTGATGGCAGCTCATCTTGCGAGGAAGATTAAAATAGCGTGAAGTTGATGAATCCCTCCTTGGTTACTTCTGCCTCATATCAAATTAATTTGCAATTGAGGTGCAAGATTAAAGCAGAAGATTATTATTGTTATATAAGTGGAAAATGATTTGATTAGAGGAACACTGAAGCATGAAATTTGGTTTTTTTTTTGTATCCTATTTGTTTGGATTCTCAAGTGTGCTTTTCGTATTCCTGTTTGTTTTTTCCATCCTTTTTCATTCTAAAGCGCTGAGTTTAAATATTATAATGATAATTTTTAAAGTTCCATTATGTTGGCACGGCTTATCAATTTAAATGGCAATAAGGCTTAAAAAAAAACATACATGTTTTGTAAGGCCAAAATTGTGAAGTTTTTTGAGTTCTATTTTTATTATTAGAAAACACAATCCTTTGTTTTGAAAACTAAAATTAGAATCACTTATCAAATAATATAGAAAGATTTAAATACATACCACTCAATTCTTTTGTATTAACATATCTTGCATCTTTAACATAATTTTTACATGAATGTCACCCATGAAAATGTACTTCACATTTTAAAAGTTAGAATGATGGTATTCTTAATGTGATATGAAAGATTTGATTGAATAAATATAAAAAGTAAAATTTAGGTGTTAGATCTGTAAATACGTAGGAATTGGGTAGTATATATAGAAATATTATAATCTTATGCCAAGAGATGGCTTTACCCTCCGATGTGATGAAGTTATCCTCTTGATGATGAAAGGTGGAAAAAGATGCTTGAGAAGGAATTTATTTTTGAGGCTTCAATTAAGATGGAGTTATTTGGTTTGTTAAAAAAATAATTCAACATAAAATATGTAAGAGAAATGCATTGTATTTGTAATAATTTTGAGTTGTTTAATATATTATAAATTAAATGTGATATTTTTTATTTCGTTGTTTGGTTTGAAGAGGAATGAAGAAATGTATTTTAAAATATATGGGGTTTTATATTATTGGTGCTCAGGGCTGTGCGAGCGGACACTGGTGGGCGGTAGCAGCAATAGAAGTGGTGGTTGAAAGCAACACGATATAGAAGTAATGTATTGTATTACGTATGTTCATAAATATCAATCCACTTATGATCAACTTGATCTTAAATTCATCAAATAAATATAATTTCCCAATCATAAAAAATTTGTGGTCTCATTTAATACAACTTTTTTATTATTATTATTGTTTTACTCGTACGATCCATTAGAGAGAAAAAAAAGTACTTTGTGGAGAGGAGCAATGGGCTCATATGTTCATTTTACCAAATTACCGAAATGCTTAAGGTATTCCGTTCAAATAATTGATTCCCATCAAAATTCCTTTTAAACTAATGAGATTACAAGTTAAGGGGAGATCTTACTTTAAAAAATATATTTTAGTTTGCTCTAAGAAAGCTAATTAATGCCACCTAAAAATGCCTGCCATGGAACTTGAGGATGAAGGAGCTGTTGATAATTTGGATGCACTTATTGCTTTCATGAAGTTTATTTACAAAGCCTCTTATTTATGATTACATAAGTTTTGATGATCTTTCGAGCTCAAATTTGTTATTGCCAATGTTGACAATACTATCCCAAGTAGCATTTATGAATTCTCAAAGACCGAAGTGGATAGTGGCTGTCTTCAAAGAAACAATAGCCATCTATAAGAATAGGATTTTAAAAATTATGGAACATGTTAAGGATAAGAATGCTATTAGAAGTTAGTAGTTCTTCTTAGACAAATTTAAAGCATATGAAAATATTAGGAGTTAATGCTTGGATTACTTACTAAAGTTGAACGCTATTTGAGATAACATTCATTGTAGTTATTTTCAATTTTGAACTCCATCAACTTGCTGTAAAACATCTTGCCTTAGATGTTGATTCAGAATATATTTACATAAAAATTTCACCAAGATTTCAATAAAAAGGTGGGCACACATTTTATAGGTTGAAAAAATTTTATTATGGGCTAAAACAGTCCCCTTGAGCTTGATTTAGAACAGTTAGCTCACTCTAAAGTTATTAGGATAAAATAACAAAAAGCTAACTATAATGTGTATGTTAAATCCAAAAAAAAATGAAAGAATCCCTAATTATTTGTGTTGATAATGATGGAATAGGTGAAAATCAATATACTAAAAGAGGGTTTGTAAGATGATCTTAAAGTGAAGTAGTTAGGAGAAAAAAATTATGCTTTGAGGATGAAAATAGCTTATAGTTAAAAAATAATATGCTTATATGTCAAAATAAATTTATACTTGACCTCTTCAAGGAGTGCTAAACTTGGATGAAAGCTTATGGGAGCACCAATAAAAAAAATATATAATTGGATAGGTATTGAAGAGGATTATCTAAGAACTAGGGTTGATATCAATGATTAGTTGGGAAATTTATCTTTCACTAATTAAACTAAATATTAACTATGTATTATGTAACGTGAGTTAGTTCATACACTCCCTACTCAAAAGTACAAGAATGTTAGAAATCATTTATTAAGATATCTTAGATAGATTTTTACAACAAGACTCTCAATGTTTCAAAAATAATGAGAGAAGTATATCAACATTTATTGAAGCAGGCTAGGCATATAGTAAAGATAAAAAGTCTACCTATAAATTGTGAACGAAGTTGTGGGCAAACTAGTCATATGTTGAAGTCAGAAAATGAACTATTATAGTTAGTAGTAGCACTATAGCTGAATTACAACTATTGCATGAGTGGTTTATGAAATAATTTAAATAGAAGAGGGAAGAAGAGTTATGAATGCAAAATTCATTTCTATCTACTCTCTATAGTGATAATAAATTTGTTACTAGTATTGTGAAGATTGATATTCAACACAAGTAAATGAAACATGTTAGAAATAAATGAAGATTCATCAAAATATAAGTTAATAAGGAAATTAATCTATGCTATACTTCATTTCATTCTCAATAATTTAGCATTCATGACACAAGTTTAAACAAACTCATATTTGAATATTTGTTGCCAATTTTTTATGGCAGTTAAAACTATCACAAATACTTATTTTTATCACGATGTAAGGCAACTTTCTTATGACATAACTATGATTTTCTATTTCAAATGAATTCACATATCGTTAGTAGAAAAATAAATACATATGACTATTCTAACACACACACACACACAAACACACACACACACACACACACACACACACACACACTCTCTCTCTCTCTATATGTTGACCCTTCCCCCACACATAAATTTTAGCTACTCTTTTAAACCGAAACAACCATTTTTTTTTGCTATAAAGCTATTTCACAATGATTCCATAATCATTAAGATAAATTTTGTGTGGCATAAGATATTGTAGTGGTATAAACTATCAAAAAATTGAAGCTTTTGCAATGGTTTAAACTATCCTAAGGAAGTAATTTTTTTTTAAATCATAATGTTAGCTAATCACACACGCACACACACACACACATGATGCGGGTGAATTTTGTGTGTTAATTTTGCAAATATTTTTAGGATAGTATACGTATCGTTCAAGTAATAAAGAGTTCTAATGGAGTCATAGATATCGATCCCACAGGGAAGTTAGAAATTCTTATAAGTAAATTCTTAAGATTATAATGTAAACTCTAAAAGTGGTGCAAAATTCAAATATAAAGTAAATAACTGAATGCTAAAAAAAATACAATTAAAAGACTAATTTAATTAAACTAATTGCTAAACTTTCAAAAGTAAAATTTACGAAAACTAAATAAAGTTTTTGTGGTGAAGAGTTCAAATTTAAGAAAGCATCCTTCTGCTTTACAATGAGTATATGGTTTGTGAAGAAATTAAAATCATTTGTATATATACATAACAAAGTTTTTGTTGTGACGGAAAGTTCAAATTTAAGAAAGCATCTTTTCCCTTTACAATGAGTATATAGTTTGTGAAGAAATTGAAATCATTTGAAAAAATATATATAAATTGTTTTGTGTCAAATAGGAGCAATCATATTCTTTACCCTCTTCCGAGTGGCATAAAGAACATTGACTAATCGAGAGTTTGGTCCTTAATTTGGTGGTCCGGATGAGAGGATGGGAGGATACCGGCTGCCACTCCAGAGCTCCCACTATTCCATCACCTGAGGGCTAACAATCTCACATTAGTTTCCAATCAACTGAACCAAATTGGGAATTTTAATATGTCATCTTAAAATCTCCAATTCTGCATCCAATAAAGTATATTTTCCTATTTATTTGCACTCAATCTCATGGTTGATATACTCTCCAATGGAATTGAATGCGATTCTCTACTCCCCATGTTGTAGAGATCTTAGCCCTTTCAGAATATATGTTTATCAACACATTTTAACATTTAATTAGCCAGATCAAAAAGTAAGTGAAGATCAGAGTTTAAATCATTACAAATATTGACATTTAAAATCATATAAATCATAATCGATTCTTCACAAAACCATATCTCAAATTAGGAAGAAGGATAAAGAAGACTACTCAAAATTTATAAGAAGGATACCCGACAAAACACGAATTTCATATATAAAAATAAGTTTACAAAACAAAGAAATAAAAGAACACAACTTATCTCACAATCCTTCCCAAGCAAATCCCTAGAAGTTCTCTTCAAGCTTCACTCTCAAATCTCTTTTAGAAGTGTAATGAAAAAGAAATCTCTCACCTTCCCTCTCCTCTTACAATAATTGAATAAAATCTCCCAGCCCTTGACTTTCTCTCTCTCAATCTCATGCCACAATGTCTCTTCAACCCCTCTTTCATGCACCTCTTTAAGCCCTAGACTTCCCTCTCTTTTGTTAGAGATTTTGGGGCTACCTCCTTTAAAAAGGAATTCAAAATTTCTTTTTAAATTCCCTCTAATATTCAACTTTTTTGAATTCAAAATACATGTCCATTGATCCAAGATACATATCCCTTAAAAAAAGAACCTTCGAAAGTGTCTAGATGCATTGAATCACTCCATGAGATGCTTAGAACAAGTTTTCCCTTCAAATTTCATGTAAATCACATCCTGAACTGCCTTAATCCTCAAAAGTCATCTCTGACGCTTCAGACGCTGATTCTGGCGCTTCGGGTGCCAACTTGCTTAAGACCGCGTTATTCTGGGTTTTGGCGCTTCAGGCACCAAATCTGGAGCTTAAGGTACCAGCTCTTTGTAAAATGATGCTGCAGGCTCCAGCTCTCTATAAAATGGCGCTTCATGTGGCAAAATCCCGAAATTCGCTGTTTTGGCTCCAAATTTCATTTTTTTTG